GACGTGACTGTTCCCAGGTGACCTCACCTAAGTACCTTCTTAACCCCTGAAAATCCGCCAACCGAAAGTTCCCTGGTAGTGATCATCGGACGGGGGTACGTGCACCACGAAATTTCCCCATGTTCCAATAACGAATCGTACGCATTTTTCTTTTTTTTAGCCAAAAACGCTTCTTGCATAACAACCATGGGAGTACTACAGCAAAGTATACACCACGGCTGATATTGCATATGGGCCTTAGTGCCATTAATGCTGACGCTCTATTTCCTGTCCTGTAACCATACCCCAACCTCGTTTATCCAGTTTAGAAAATCTCCTCCAATGCCATGAGCCTCCACTTTACATATTAGTCTTTCGTGGAGAACCTTGTCGAAGGGTTTGCTAAAGTCTAGGTAAACCACATCGTAACCGTGTCCGTCATCCACTGATTCAAAAACAGTTGAAATGAATCATAATAGATTAGTCAGACATGAACGCCCACTCTTGAAGCCATGCTGGGAATAATTGATCAACATGTGTTTCTTTAGGTGATATCGAATTGAGTATGAAATTATTGCTTCCAGTAGTTTGCCTACAATTGATGTTAAACTATTTGGACGGTAGTTAGAGGATAGTGATCTATCTTTCTTCTTGAAAATCGGTATCACATTTGCTATCCTCCAGGATGCTGGTACTTCACTGGGTTTTAATGACATGTTTAACATGTTTGCAAAGGGCATACAAAGTTCTTCCTTACATTCTTTTAATACTCTGGCAAGTATCTAGTCGAAACCTGGCGAGTTATTAGGTTTTAGTTTATCTATTTGTTTACAAACATTGTTACCAGTCACTACTATTTAGCCTAATGTATTTACTTTACTATCTCTGTAGATAGTCGGTGCCTCTGGTATCATGTTTAGATTTTCGGTTGTGAAAACTGATGAAAAATATCTGTTCAGATTATTACTAATTTCTCCTTCGTTATCGGTTAGTTCACCGGTATTTTTTTTTTTTTTACGGGAACTAACCCACCCCGGCACAGGTCATCGACCCACAAAGGGGCCTAGGGGGCGAAAAAATAATAGTAAAAAGAAATAAAAAATAGACAAGAAACATATTATATTAATCTACACCACAAAGATGCCGGAAAACCACCTGTTAAAAGCGAGAAAAATTTTATGAATATGGAAACACAGAAGAAGGCAGAGCATTCCACAGTTTGGCTGTGTGAGGAAAGAAGGATATACTATAACGGGTTATTCTAGTGTGACCGACATCCACAGAGAAACGGAGGGCACCGCGGGCAAGACAAGAGTTACACGAGCCCACAGCCTTGCCGGCAGTACACAGGATGCCAAATCCACCGAACATTGCCAGTTAAAGTACCTATAAAAGAGAGAAAGAGAAGCAACATTGCGGCAAAGAGAAAGGGAAGAAGGATTATCAACTAAAGGGGGATAGTTAATAAGACGAGATGCCTTTATTCCACCCTATCTAACAGTTGGTAAGAAGAAGAGCCATCCCAGATATGAGAGCAGTACTCCAAGTTAGGACGAATGAATCCCGTTTATACCTGAAGCAACTGCTCATGTGTGAAGAAATTGCGGCATCTGTCCAGCATTCCCAGCTTTCGGGAGGCAGCTTTAGCAAAGTTGACGATGTGTGGTTTCCATGACATATTAGAGGAAATGGCGAGGCCTAGCATATCAATTTCAGAATTTGGCAGAAGGATTGCGTCCTAAAATATGATTGGTGGGAGATCATCTAATTTGGAAAGTGTAATTTGTAAATACTGAGTTTTATTACTATTGAATTTAACCAAGTTTTTACCTCCCATTCGGAGATGCTGGACAGATCCGCGTTGATAGTGTTATGCCGTAACTTATCAACTTGAATTACATTAAAGATTAATATTCTAATGAGGGCAATAATGGCACAACAGAAAAAAAAATGGAAACTCGGCACAACTTAGTCCAAGGTTCAATCACAGCCCTCTCTTTATCCCAACAGTCCAGGAGTCAAGGTTTGGAATTATACACATTACAAAAGATTTAAATAAAATTTAATAAAAAAAATTATCATAATAAGTGTGTAGGTTCCATGTGATAATTTAAATCAAGAGAATAAAGAAAGAACATAATCCTTAATAAACCACTAATATATGCACAGTTAATAACCATGAATTACTTTGTAATAATAATAGAGCAGCACTAAATAGATAATGCTCAACTAAACGCTATTTGAAAAGGTATCCACCACTGACAATCAGAGACTTCCTCCTTCTCCCAAGGTCAGCCAGTAACTGACATCACTATATACTCCAGGTAACTACCAACATAAAACTAATATTAATGAACTCCCACATTAAGCTGCAAAAATACCTACATACATACAGAAAAATATTTTATGTATCAAAAACCAGCCCTGCTCACAAATCATTACACGAAATTATATTTGCATAACTTGGGGTAACATGCCTAAAAAATATTTCACTATGCACAGCTCAACACACTAATGTACATTACGCCATGCATAACAATAGATGAAATGATATCAGCATAAGAAACAGATCTAGTTTGAGAATTAGGGAGGAAGGGAAAAATGTGAAGAGGAGTGAAGAGTAGAATCATCAGCGTAAGAATGGATTGAATCGGTTGTGTGAAGTATCATTGATAAAAAGAAAGAAGAGAGTAGTTGAAAGAATAGAACCCTGTGGAACACCACTATTGGTAGAGAACGAGCAAGGGGTCGATCCCTCGACAATAACTGTTATGGATCGGTTCTCAAGGAAGTTTGATACATTTGGAAAAAAATACCTTTGAATTTTATTTGCCCCCCCCCCCATGCAATCTCAGCCTTCAAGAAGACAAAAAGTTGCTCACAACTAACACTGTCAGTTAATCTCCCGGAGCTAAATCGGCCGTACCCTTTCCTCTAGTGAGGTCAGCACACAACTGAGCGAGGCCAGCAACTATCCTACTGTAACAAAGGCATTCTTACAAAAGGAACTTTCACACAGTCTTGTGTTTACAAAAGCTAGAATCTAGATGATGCAAATGGTGAGAGCTGTGTTCTCATCCACCCACTAGTTTTCGTATTTAGAATAGTCAGGGAGAGGAGGCAATCCTCTTTTGACCAACAGATTATTGACGATTTTGACAGCTTCTTGGGCCTGGTTCATCTCATTCTTGGTGTAAGGGTTGAATTTCTTCTGGCCGCCCTTCATCTTCCCTGTGATGTGTCGAGCCACACACACCAGCCGCTCCTCATTGGGTTTCAGCCGCAGGAAATTCAGCATGCGGCGGACCTCTTTGATTGGATCTTCCCGCAACTGCTCATAGTACATTGGGAGGAGACGCAAGCGGGAGTTCTCTAAGGCATTACGGATCACATCCATCCAACGATTTAGCATATTCTGATAAAAATTTCGAAATTCTGGAACGAATAATGTGAAAATGTCTGATGTTGGTAAGACTATTATTTACTTTAATGTATCGTATGTAATGTAGTCAAAGGGGAGTGAGGTACTGATAAAGACGAAGACTGGGTTCTGTCGGGCACGGAACCATCGGCACACAATATGGTAGTGTGGTCGGTACTGTTACAACTCTTGACTGCTTTCTTTTCCCTAACTTTGTAAAGATATTTGTCAATGCTGTAAAAAAGTATTTGGGAGTTTCCCTATATCTATACTGATGAATGACATGAACATTATTGAGAAAGACTGATATTGATATGATGAGCATGACAATATATAAGTATGACTGAGTATGATAGAGGTATATAAGTATGATGAGAAATATCAAGCGAATCCTTGTGCCAGTGTTACCCATGACTCACTTAAACAAACTCTCACATAACCAACCACAACCACACAAATAACTGACATGATCCACCGGTACCACACAAATAACTAACATGATCCACCACAAACCTTGAAACCGTCACTACCGACGTACACGCCATCACAATCACACTGAAAGGTATGTCCCTTAATACTGTCAATACCTATGGCTATGGCCTGGCACTTGACATTATTAGGGACCTGCCACGCTTTGCCATAAACAGATAAATTGTACCGGGATATTTCCCCCCACACACTCATCATTCTGTCACTTTATGTAACTTGCTGACAAAACCCATGACCCTTCAAGCTTTTACGCCCTAATGCATGATCATAAAAGGCAAGCATGAACTCTGCTTGCTTCCCAGATGGGCACTGTAAACGCTGCTGTGCTTCACCTTGCATAGGATGTAAGGGGGTGCCCAATAAACTAGCCTCCTCCGGGGCAATCTAATCTGACTCTGACCTATATGTACTGTCAGTGATATGATGTATTCTTTGTGTACGAACCTCTGTCCTGCGTGGCAGTGAACAGTGACATTACCCACATGCATCTGATCTATGTATATATATGTAGGTATGTGTACAGTATGTGTGTGTGTATGTGTATGCATACGTATGAACACACACATTTATATATATATATATATATATATATATATATATATATATATATATATATATATATATATATATATATATATATATATATATATATATATGTGTGTGTGTGTGTGTGTGTGTGTGTGTGTGTGTGTATGTATGCTGTCACTGAATACGAGGTATTTCTTTGTGTATGAAACTCTGTCCTGCGTGGCAGAGAAGTGTCAAGACCTAACTGAATTACTCGGAATAGGCAAACTGTACTTCAGGATTTGTCAATAACCACAACCACACAAATAACTAACATGATCCATCAGTACCACACAAATAACTAACATGATCCACCACAACCACACAAATAACTGACATGATCCACCACAACTACATAAATAATTGACATGATTCACCACAAAAACTCAAATAACTGACATGATCCACCACAAAAACTCAAATAACTGACATGATCCATCACAAGCACACTGTCATGGGTTGCGTTAGGCTTACCCACACAATCAACTCCAAAGTTTGTTTACTAGAGATAAGGCACCCAGGCGCCATAACTGCTACACATATTTTCCATTAGTGGTATGATAATCTTCCATAGGAGGAGGCCAGTGAAACAGTGTTGTACTGTTCAGCGCCTCAAGCCCCAAAAAACCTCATTTTAGGTAGTATCCCCTGGGCCATGGGTTAGTTAAGACGTCGTCCCCATCCTCTCCCTCCTGAAGGGAGCGGGACACCACACAGAGTCTTCCACCGCCACCCTGTCCTTTTGGATCGTCGTCGACATGAGATTAAGCGTGTTAACTTTGGTTTGTTATCCCCATGAGATATCACGTGTGGATGCCTGGTTGCAACAAGAGCAATCCAGGTTGGCCTATCAAACCTACAGTAAATGGTTAATCAATTCATGCTTACATAGTTCTCCTGCACGACACCCGTCTACAGTGACCGTGATCGACACGAGACTAAGTGTGTTAACCTAGGTTTGTTATCCCCGTGGAAATATCACGTGTGAAAGCCTGGTTGCGACAAAAGCAATCCAGGCTGGTCTATTGCACCTATGTGGTTAAACAAGTCACGCTTACCAGTTCTCCTTGTCGCGACAACCGTCTACAGTGACTGTCAGTGACACGAGACTATGTGTGGTAACCCAAGAGTACTTTTTTGTTATTCCCCGTGAAAGAAGTTCTTGTGAGGAAGCCTGGTTCCAACAAGAGCAATCCAGGCTGGCATTAAATGTATCACTTGAATAATTAAGGCTCTGTTAAGTCATACCCATAGTAGAGTAATCAAATGTGTCCCCAAGTTGAAAATTCCCTCTTTTAGAAGATTAATTTTATTACAGCGTGAACGTGAGTGACTCATATATCCATGAAAATTGTAAATCATTGTATGGAAGCTTGACAAATAAATGTAAGTGCAATTACCTGCCCGTATCTGTGATCCTATCTTATTACTAAAGGTTATTACTGATTGGTTATGACAAAGTATAACCAATAACTTAGATGGATGTTGGAAATTAATGGAACTCATTAAATCATCATTTATCAAGTATAAATCATGGAATTTCGAGTGGTGGAGTGAATTTCTACGTAGATGCACCATAATCTCGTGTAAGTAACCAGTGTGAAGGTATTGAACTCTATGGCAAGAAATATAAGAAACACAACATATTATAATCTTCATATAATATAATCCACTCATACACCACTACGAGGAAAAACCATGACACACACAAATAACTGACATGATCCACCACAACCACACAAATAACTAACATGATCCACCACAACCACTCAAATAACTGACATGATCCACCACAACCACACAAATAACTAACATGATCCACCACAACCACTCAAATAACTGACATGATCCACCACAACCACAAAAATAACTAACATGATCCACCACAACCACTCAAATAACTGACATGATCCACCACAACCACACAAATAACTAGCATGATCCACCACAACCACTCAAATAACTGACATGATCCACCACAACCACACAAATAACTGACATGATCCACTACAAACACACAAGGCAGTAGTCACCTGAAGTGTTGTATCTGGAGTTATCGATCACAGCGACGTGTTTCACATCCCAGGAAGTAACTATTTTGAAAGCCCATAACGACGCGATTGCCCTGTCAAGAATTACAAACTCATAGTTACATAAATATGTATTAAAATGTATTTACGGCTTTTGCCCATGGTTTAATGCGAATGCTTCTTTACAGTTTACAGAAAGAGACATATGTTTGTGTGCGTCATACAGTAGTTTGGGTAGATGGTTACTTCGACTGGTATGAAACAAAGCCTTAAGTGATGCTACATTAACACTTTACTTGTTGTCTTTAGTGACTGTGAGGGAGACAGTCATCACCACTACCTACTGTATGTATGACTGTGAGGAAGACAGTCACTACCACTACCTACTGTATGTATGACTGTGAGGAAGACAGTCACTACCACTACCTACTGTATGTATGACTGTGAGGAAGACAGTCACTACCACTACCTGCTGTATGTATGACTGAGGGAGACAGTCACCACCACTACCTGCTGTATGTATGACTGTGAGGGAGACAGTCACCACCACTTCCAACTGTCTGTATGACTGTGAGAGAGACAGTCACCATCACTACCTGCTGTATGTATGACTGTGAGGGAGACAGTCACCACCACTTCCTACTGTTTGTATGACTGTGAGGAATACAGTCACCACCACTACCTACTGTATGTATGACTGTGAGGAAGACAGTCACCACCACTACCTGCTGTATGTATGACTGTGAGAGAGACAGTCACCACCATTACCTATTGTATGCATGACTGTGAGGAAGACAGTCACCCTCACTACCTGCTGTATGTATGACTGTGATGGAGACAGTCACCATCACTACCTGCTGTATGTTTGACTGTGAGGGAGACAGTCACCACCACTTCCTACTGTATGTATGACTGTGAGGAAGACAGTCACTACCACTACCTACTGTATGTATGATTGTGAGGGAGACAGTCACCACCACTACCTGCTGTATGTATGACTGTGAGGAAGACAGTCACTACCACTACCTACTGTATGTATGACTGTGAGGGAGACAGTCACCACCACTACCTGCTGTATGTATGACTGTGAGAGAGACAGTCACCATCACTACCTGCTGTATGTATGACTGTGAGGAAGACAGTCACTACAACTACCTGCTGTATGTATGGCTGTGAGAGGAGTAGGACCTACCTGATGGGGTTCCGGATGAGAAGGATACAAGGATCAGTGGCGTGGTGGTTTTTCTGAAGAAAATGATATTTGGTGACGATGGTATTGTTGTGACTCAGCGATGATACTTCTCCTAGAAAACCTGAAAATTAAATTCCAAACAGCTTAATCTACGTAGATAATATAACTTTATATTTAGAATATCAAACCCTCTGAACCATGTGTTTACTAAAATTATATCACATTCGCTCTCAGTTCAAGAAAATAAATAAACAAAATGCCTCCGATATACAAATGACATTGAAAAATGGCTTGAAATATTACTGTAAATAAGTCAAAAATAATTATCAAAGCTGTAAAGATGTTCCTACGTGCATGAATTAGGCATTAGACATTTGGTTTGTTTGTATATATTCAACTAACAGGAAAATACAAACAAACTGGAGGGGTTAAGTCTCACCTGCCTTAGTGAGGGAAGGATCATTAAAGACGGAGCTCGTAAAGATGCCAGTAGCTCCCTCAAGTAGGTAGCGAGTCCAAGTGTTGCCTGAACGAGGGAAGGAGAGCAGTAGCGTCCCTTCGATATTCTTACCGAAGTTCACCAAGAATCTGACAGCGGGGAGACATTACTGTTGCTGTGGAACTGTCTTGGTGTTATGTGGGTGTTGGGTGGTACTGTACCTATGACCGTGATTGTAATAATCGGAAAAGGCGTTTTTCTTGTCTTTAGATTAAAAACCTTCCTATACTCTTAATTATTTTTCTATTCACTTCTCCATATTCTTTCTAAATATTCTCAATACTCTTAATATGGACTATTAATAATGTGCTCGTGATATTCATAATGCTTTGGTTCTTTCATTCTCATAATACTTCAGCTGTATTTTGTTGGGCGGTCCCTTGACTTAGTAACCATGTTCCTTTCAAATAAAACTATTACTCGTATGTCATTGGCTACTTCTGTAACTCTGGCCTTTTATTGATTGGTCGTTGTTTACTCAATCCTCTAAAGGGCTCAAGTTACTTCTACATAAGTTTTCACTGTTCAGCTACCGCTACGACATATACAAATCATTAGTCGTAAACACAAATCTTAAAAGAGGGCCGCTTCCATCATGTTTAAATCTTTCAAATACTGAGACCTATAAACTGTGGCCACACACAAACACACAGCTAAGTTACAGTCTCTTGTAATGCTGTTCATAACACTGTAACGGCTTGTCATAACTTCACGATATGACATGGGTTAATGTGAATAACAATTTAAAATAAACTCACTGAATTAGAAGACATATATAACTCACTTTGAGCATTGGGCATCTTCGGACCACAGCGAGTGAGACGCCTTTGTGTGGTCAATCTCAAGAGCCCTGTACACACTTGTTGATGGATGACCTGACAGATATGGGAGATGGAAACTTGTGAGTGAGTAAAATTCTTAGGCATTATTATATTCTTATTCAGCCTACAGTTAGAAAATGGTAGACTGGACTTAAAGAGTCTAGAGGGTGTTCAGAGATGGCAGGGTACTACTTATGTACAGATGTTAACATTGTATCTGTGGCACCAGAAATTACTTTTATTAAGTTAACCTTTCAGGTGACTGCTGGTACACAAATTTTTAATAGACAGAGGCGGATCCAGTATTTTGTAATGGGGGTATTTGAGGTTGGCGAAGCCGAGTCCCTTTAGGTGGGTGGGTCTGGGAGCATCCTCCCCGGGGAAATTTTGAAATTCTAGATGTCATATATGGTGCATTGCAAAGCATACTTCGGTTGAAAATGGAGGATTGAAAAATGGACGCAAGGAATCCTTTTTACCATGATTTTATTACTTATGAACCTCTTGAGTCCTTAATACACTAAAAATAAAAATGTCTGGGTCACATTCATTGGCTCAAACTTAAAATGGGTTAAAGAACAACGTTCTACTTAGTTGTTTTCTTGAATACTTATCAATAATACGTTCATAGATGAGTTTGATGTTTTTGTGGACAAACATAAGAGTCTGTCTTGCTGCATTGTGGACATTATGGCGGTTTTCACTCGTTTCATTGCTGAGTTACTAGGATCCTGTGAGTGGATGTTTGGGTACATCATCCGAGGAGTTGATACAATTGTGTCCCGCTTTGGCGTCCCATCTGTAGCACTCATTATGGTTGTTTCCTGTTAGACAGTCGAGGATGGCTTCATACATTTGATGGAAGTCCTCCAAGGCTGTGTAGCGCTCAACCCTCCTTGTTTCACAGAGAAGTTTGACTTTCTTTGGTTTCACTAACGGTTTCCCCTGACTTTTTCTCTCTGCACTGAGTGTGTGCAGTGGTTTTTCCGGTCGTAGCTGATATTTCGGAGAAAACCTGAAGTAATTCCCTGTGCCTGCACATTGGACATCATGCTTGTCATCTCTTGGAGCTTGTATGCTTTGCTCAGGGCCAGGTTAATGCTGTGGCATGCACAGCGGTAGTAGTTGGCGTTAGGAGCCACAATTCTCGAAATTTGCTGCACACCCATTAGTTTCCCCAGCCATGTTCGCTGCACCATCATAAGTCTGTGCTCTACTCAACTGGGGATCCACATGAAGTCCTTTGAGGAAGTAAATCAATTTCTGGCATATTGCTCTTCCTGGAATCTCTCCAACAGGTTAATTTTCTTTATATACTTGATCACGACGCCCAGCTGTTCCCAATTGATAACATCTTTGACTTCATCAGCCTGCATTCCAAAAAATACTACCCCATGGCCAATCGATTTCGTCATGATTTCTCTCACCAATTCTTCCTGCATGTCTTCTTCCGCACAAATAAGAAGCTCATTTTTAAATGTATTGGGCATTTCTTGCCCATGTCTCAAGATGTTTCTCGAGTTTCTTGTCCCCGGCGCAACACTGAAGTTGAGGACACCTCTGAAATTTCCATGGCCGAGAGATTCTAATATAGAATCATCGCGGTGGCCCCTCAACGGTATCCCCTGCCACCCATAGAATTCGATGCATCTGATTATAGAACGAAGAAGCATTCTCTTCTTCTCCAATTGCTTCGACGCCTCACTGGTCGATGCGGGATGTGGGATTCTCATGTGTTAAAAAAAATGAATCTTGGCCTTAGACTTCAAGTGATACACCAACTTTGAGTAGTCCTTCAAGTCTTCTGCTGCAGCCTTCCAATTATTGTAATGCTTGTCAGTCAGTAGATGGTTGCGGGTAGATTGGCTTGATGTGGGGAAGAGGATACATGCAAGACAGAAGAGACTATAATTATGCAGTGTAGCAGCTGAATATGCCATAGCGTAATACTGATTCAGATACTCAAGTCTGTATCGTCTCGTTTGGAAACCAGATTTCCTCCTCGAATCCTTGTATGTCTTCGTTGCGAAAACATAAGTAGCATCAGGCTTACGGTTCTGTATTAAAGGTCTAATGTCCAGACGACTAAAAGCCACCGTAGAAAAGCTCCCTGACTGATTGCCATCTTCATCATCATCTGCAACATTCACAATGACATTATAGATGATGATGATGATGATGATGAACAAAGTCATAATCAGACTTTAAGAATGAAGATAGTGCTGCCCTAACGAAAATGCAGTAAAATATGATAAAATGGCAGAAATTAACGTAATATGTGGAAAAACTCAATATCGAGTCAAAATATACTGCCATGTCTAAAACAGACAGAATGCAATGCATTATGACCTACAGTATAATAATATAATATGTTACATTATCATTTGTCATTTGATAACTCAACTAGGCATTACCATAAAACCTAATACCTGCAGGGGATGAGCTTTGTTATTTTTCGTAATCCTGCACCATAACGACATCACACTTTTGTGTGTTCAGCAGTGCCTAGCCTCCGAGTCACACTAATTTGACAGTATCCAAAGATTCGCCCCGAGTCTCACCCACTCGTTCGCTGGGTCGCTTGGCTCTGCATCACAAATTCAATAAGCTTAGAGTCTACAACATTGTATGGGGACACACAGCCCGGTTAAATTTATCTGCACACTATTCACAACTCAATAAAACTATTCAAAACTCGTAAAAGCCATGCAGTTTGCCAGTACAGCACAATAATTACCATTTTCCGTATTTAACTTCAGTATTTAACTATGGCTAACGTCAGACGCTTTTACTCTGGCTAACAGCAGACCATTTTACTCTAACTAACTGTGGGCCATCCAGCTGATTTGGAAATGTTGGTAGCCCTGCCAGGACCATCGTAGTGTCCGAAGAACGATCTTGAACGAGCATCTGTCACCAGAATGCAGGATGGAATACACTAAATTTCATAATCTTCGATGGTTTGCGAAAGGAAGGAGTGCAAAGGTATAGTCACCTAGTGTCGTGTTGTCTTTCGAAAACACAATATTGTGTGACCACTCAAAATTCACGTTTACGCTTGTATCTGGGAAAGTAGACTGAAAGTTTGGTGAATCACCTATTTCGATATAAGGATGGAGGAACATTATTTCACGATTATTTTCAAGATTTGTGTTTCTGGTGTATTAGGACTAGACTTCAAGCGCACAAACAGATGTAAATTACCCTACATGAGTATGATCGAGAGATATTCAATAGCATCACTAAACTTAACTGAATGTAGGCCTATGCTACAGGTCAGACAAGATGTAGTCTAAAAAGATTTGAGTGACGTACTTTTTAATAAATGAAGTTATTCTCAACTTCGTAGCCATGGTATCTCAGTCTGGGACAGTGATACTGTTTGGCACGATGCCAAAATGTGCACAGAAATGTAACTTAATCAGCATAAGGCAAGCGGGACGTGCAAACATTGAACGGAAAAAAAACACACGAAAAAAGTCACAAAATATTACTTATGGCCTGATACCAGAGTAGATTTTTTTTTACAGATTCGCCCCGTGAGGGGACTAGTTTATTGGGCGCCCTGTAACGAAACTGAATTGAGTTAACTTAATTTAATAACAAATTTTAATTTTTACGATACACAATTGTGTAACAAAATTAGTTTAGGTATCCCCTATGGGAAGTAAATGCTTAAGTCAGCAAATTAAGTAAATATTTATATAAATCCTTAAATTGTCCTATTATCCATGATTGCTATGTGATCTGAAACTTTGTATAAAGAAGATTAATGATTGAAGATTAGTTTGAAATGATTTGTAAGTGTAAGTTATTGTTAAACATATGTAAATTTCTCATTAAATAAATGATGTTAACTGTTTAAATGTGAATTGCAAGATAGATTGACGATTTTAGATCATTATGATATAAGTGGATACTTATAAATAATTGAGACTAATTCATAAACCGTAAGAACCGAGTGTAAAGATTGACCTGTAAGTGTGAGTGGACTCCCCCATAACACATGATGAGCTATTAAAGATTTGACCGGACTTGTACTCAACCGATTGTGTGAATGAGTGATCATTGAAATTGTATCAGATTTAGAAGAATGATTCAGGGTTACAAAACATTTAAATTATTTGTAGAAAATCATAACATGAAGAAATGTAATGAAATACCTGACTTAACTAAACTTACACTGTGTTAATTATTTATATATATGAACCTGAATTGTAACCAGTAAATGAACACAGCCAGAACTTGACAGAGCTGCGTTAGTAAGTACAGCCATTCTTTGATTTGAGTGTTTGCTTGTTAGTGATAGAAATACCCCGGGAGATGCTGAGATGAATATTATTTTTGCCAGTTATTTACCATTGATATAATGAAGAGTTAATATTATTTTATATATAAGTGAAGCATACACGTAAACATACTGGAATTTTATGATAAACCAATGATAACCCAAAATAATTATTTATTAACATTGTGATATATGTGTGTGTGTGTGAGTATTCTTTAAAAGATTACACAGAGTTATACAGTAAATACAATAATTGAATATAATTTACTTAACATTGAACATATGAAAGATATTATAGTTTCATTTTATTTTAAATGAACAGTGAAAACTAAGTTATTACTTAAGACAGTTCTAATTATGATTTAATGAATAATTTTATTTGTTTATTTCCATGGATTAGTAACTTAAATGAATTCCTTTGGTAAAGTAAACATATGTGATTGAAGTGAATAATTTAATACTTGTAAAATTATTATTTATTTAGAATAAGTCACTGAAATTAATGATATTTTCAGGGATTTTGGTGTAGCTGTGTATTCTCCAAAGAGGTTCTCAATATTATTTTAAACATCTAAGTGAAAGAACAATGGATGGAACAGAATTTATATACCAGCTAAGTAAATTAAAATTTATATAAAACAATAAATACGAAACTAAGATTTACAGTAGGGAGGATCACTCTGTTTTTATTTTATGACATCCGCTCAAAAAAGACTTAAATGTTTAATTAAATCTAATTTACTTTTGCTAAATATGTATTGACGAAGACAAAGATTTTGTGTAAATGCAGTCACTTGTCTTACCCCCATTGGTAGAGTTCTGTACTGCCGTTGAGGTTTCCTGCATCTGTGATACCAAATCGGTAAGCGGCTCCCTATAGTGGAGGTGTGATGACTTCAGACTGTAGACGGCATTTATGTAGAGGTACACATAAGCAGGTGCTAGGAGCAACACCGTCTTAATGACGGTACTCATGACCCTAGTCTGCCCGCAATCTCTGATTCTTGCGGGAAAACCAGAGAAAGGTAAAGACTGACAAGGCACGATTCGTGGCATATCAAAGAATGTATACAGAAAATAACGTTTTCCAAGGGAAAGTACGAAATATTCCGTCTCTTGAAACAAAAATGTAACTAACTACGACAGGTCCTCATACAGGAGTGTAAGAATATACACTCCGTGCACGACGGAAGAGGATGCGATACTGGCAAATACCTGTTTCACTGTAGTGGATGCTCTTCCTACAACTGCTGACTGATCTTACCAGCCAATCAGCAGCAAGTTCCACAGACCAGGCAGCACTCGCGCACTGCGAGAAGATAGACAAACATAGAAAAATTTGACAACTGGCCACATGCAGTACGCTACACCACAAACAGCTGTTCTCAGCTCAAAAATTCACCAATGTAGACCCCATACATATATATATATATATATATATATATATATATATATATATATATATATATATATATATATATATATATATATATATATATATATATATATATATATATGCTGATAACCACAAGGAAAGAAGAAAACACGAAGTTCCCAAGCGCTTTCGTGTAATTCACATCTTCAGGGGTGAGTACAGACTAGAGAGAGAAATACAAATCAAAGTGTATATATACAGAGGAGGGTGAGACCAGGTCCACCTGAGTGTGGTGATTTCTTACCTGCGCTACTCCCTCTCTCCACACTAACAGAGGGAGTAGCACTCGTGGTGTTACTAGCACCTTCCTCACACTCGTCACTTAAGGTGCTGAACCTGTTGTTTAGGTCTACAGCTGAGTGCCTTTTTAGAGTGCATTTTGTAGCACTAGCAGCAACTACCTTCCATGAATCCACTTCAACTTCACCGTCCTTCACGACACTGGCAAAGGTTTTCTTCTCCTCTAAAACTAGCTTCAAGGCTAAGTTTTCGCCCTTGAGACTCTGGACCTCCTTCTCAACCTTCTCCAGTCGGTCTTGCAAGGCAAGACAAAGCTGGAGAACGTGAGAGGTGGTCGAGTACTCGTCAGCAGCTGCCATGTCACTATATCACTCACTAACACTGACAGGAACACAGGTCCGCACTGGCTGAGGGTTTTCAAAGAATTTTTAACCTTGGGCCACTGACAAATAAATTTATGTAACACATTATCAGTTATGACCTGACCTTATGTTTAATAAGGTCACCCTGTATATTTAAGCCTCTTTCTGTCCATGTAATCCAGTTGCCTCTGAAGATGTCTTGGATAAAGACGAAAGCTAAGGTGCTCCGTTGTTTCCCTTTTCCCGTGTGATTTTAGCAAGATATATATATATATATATATATATATATATATATATATATATATATATATATATATATATATATATATATATATATATATATATATATATATATATATAATACTTATATCTAGGTATATGCTGATAACCACAAGGAAAGAAGAAAACACGAAGTTCCCAAGCGCTTTCGTGTAATTCACATCTTCAGGGGTGAGTACAGACTAGAGAGAGTAATACAAATCAAGGTGTATATATACAGAGGAGGGTGAGACCAGGTCCACAATGGTCAGGTATTAGGTAATGACCCTACTAATCTTTAAATAGCACACAACGGTTGGTGGTCAGGTCAGATGGTCAAGTGACCCGGCCTTCTCACCTGATCACAAATCTTCTTAATTACAAAATTGTCCAGCTTGTACATGCCGTTACTCAAATTCATGTTGAATGCTTCGGTATGTTTAATAAGACTAGATTCTATGATGTTCCTACTGTCAATTGACTTACATGGTAATATTGAGGAGGCATTATCCCAGTCAATGCAATGCTTGTTATCCCTCAAATGAACAAACAGAGCATTGGATTCCTGGCCTGTCCTAACACTGTATTTGTGTTGTTTAATTCTAGTTGCAAGATCTTTACCTGTCTGGCCTAAGTAAAACATATTACATTCCTTGCAAGGAACTTTATAAATGCAACCAATTGTGTTGTTGGGGGAGTTCTTGATTAACATTTGTTTAACAGTGCATGAGTTTTTAAATGCCACATTGACGTTCCAGGTTTTTAGCTGTGCAGGAATGTGTGAGAAATTTTTGTGAAATGGTAATATTAAGATATTCTTATGGTCATGGGTGGGCTTGGGGTCAGTTCTATAAAAAGTTTTTTTAGTAATGTTTAAGCATTTGTCTATGAAAGATCTAGGGTATTTAAGGTTTGAGCCAATATTATATATATATTTGTATTCCTCATCGATGAATTCCGGACTGCAAATTCTCAAGGCACGTAAAAACATTGTTGAAAATACTGACTGTTTGACTTTATTATGGTGGGCAGAATAATAATGAATGTATGAACACACATTAGTTGGTTTTCTATAAATACTGATAATGCCTCCTCAATATTACCATGTAAGTCAATTGACAGTAGGAACATCATAGAATCTAGCCTTATTAAACATACCGAAGCATTCAACATGAATTTGAGTAACGGCATGTACAAGCTGGACAATTTTGTAATTAAGAAGATTTGTGATCAGGTGAGAAGGCCGGGTCACTTGACCATCTGACCTGACCACCAACCGTTGTGTGCTATTTAAAGATTAGTAGGGTCATTACCTAATACCTGACCATTGTGGACCTGGTCTCACCCTCCTCTGTATATATACACCTTGATTTGTATTACTCTCTCTAGTCTGTACTCACCCCTGAAGATGTGAATTACACGAAAGCGCTTGGGAACTTCGTGTTTTCTTCTTTCCTTGTGGTTATCAGCATATATATATATATATATATATATATATATATATATATATATATATATATATATATATATATATATATATATATATATATATATATATATATATATATATATATATATATGTATATTATATTTTTTTATTATTATTCTACTGAACGTGATAATTTTTCGGCAGTTTTTTTGTTTTACCATTATAGGTATTGAACCACTCGGGGTGTTTATTAGGTTTACTCAAGTCGTATACACCAGTGGATTCTATATTTGAATCATCCAAGGTGAAACACTTGTGAAGCTACCTGTCTAGACTACAAATGAGAAGTGATCTAGAAAGTGTCCAGTGAAAAATAAATCTTGTTGATAATATCAAGAAAAGTTTCCCTTGAAAGACGCGAATTAGTATAAGAGTATGTTGATGTGTTATTAAAATGGGTCTCGTGGAAATTTCGTATAGATTCTTGTCAATGTATCGGTTTGGTATATTTAGAGTATAAAGACAAAAAAAATTGTGTTTGGCATTTTTCTGGTACCAGCTATAGCTACTGAAAGCCAAATAATGATATCGAAAAGTATCCTTATTTTTCCCTGTGTAACTGGGTGTGATTGGAAAATACAAATTATTAAGTGTTGTCATCACTATAATCTGCATGATAATAAACAAATTAGATAATATTTTTGTTCCACAACGGAAATATTTTAAAATTAAATATATTTACCTTCAGGGAGATTGGATAATTTACATACATAGAGATTAGATTTTACCGGATTGTAGCAAAATCTGACTAGCTTTGAATGTGCTTAGAATTTGAGACTAGTTATGACACTATATACATGCCTACATCTAAGTTTTATGATTTGTACACTTCACAGTAACATTTTCAGCTTCGACCATATTTGTGCAGCTGTCTGGGTCACACTGAGAGAGTTCGGTGCAAGTCATGTTATTTTGTCTACATTAGCATCGACCCACTGCAGTACAATTTCTGGAACAAAAAGTACTCATGCCAGGACTGGAATGAATAGAGGTAGACTAAATGATAGGTCGTTAGATCAAGGTAGGGGTTATTAGACAGATATAGATAGCTATATGGATGGAAAGAAAGTAAGGAAGGCAGCAAAGGAGAGAGAAAGAATGTGAGAGAAGTCAGGGAGAGGGGTAAATGAATGGGTAGAAGAGACAAAGAAATATGAAAATACTGGGAAGAATGTAAAAGAAGTATTATGTGCTGTCTATCCTCCATTGATACCAAAAACGTTCGACTGCCTTTATCACATTCGGTCGTACACGGTCCCTGTCTCATTGCACCTGCGTCAGCCATCTGTATCACGCTGTACTGCTGTGTATAAGACATCTGTGAATAAATGATTACAAAAACCTACGGGGGTTTCACAGCAAATTCACTCAAGCAGTGTGTGGTGATTAATGGCACGAAATCATCATCCGTACCTGTCACAAGCGGTGTACCACAGGGCAGTGTATTGGGCCCGCTGTTGTTTGTTTGTTTCATAAATGACATGCCTGACGTTGTACACTCCTCCATACAATGTTTGCCGATGACGCCAAGTTATTTCGGGAATCAAGAACCAAGTGGACTGTGAAGAGCTTGTTCTAGGCCCCATTAACAGCTGATTCTGCCTAAGTTAACGAGGCCGGAACATTTATATTCTATTGGGTTTTAGTAGCGAAACCCAATTGTCTGTTATCCATTTATTTAGGAACTACTCAGGATACAATTCCAGAGTGTAAATCAAACCGTAACTTATCACTGTAGCTATGAGTGTTAAGAGAAGGGCGGAGGCTATGTAAATAGACCTGCTAAAATACGTCCGATCTGTGTGAGTAGTTGAGTAACAATGCCAATGAGTAGTGACCCATCGAGGGAAAACGGAATATGTACAATTGTACATCGTCCTCCCTGGAGGGAAGACGGAACCATCCACGATAGCTCTCAAATAACGTCTTCCTCTAGTCAAGGATATCAAACTACTGCCCGCTTTAGGTGGCCAGGGAGCCGGCTACTTAATGCCCTAACTCAGCACAATATGACACGGCTTCCCGTAGGCACACCTTATCACGTGTCCTGAACATGTCACCTCATAGCCAGTGGAAAGTTACAGGAGGTGACAAAGTATATAATTCAAATGTAATTAATCAAGTTATATAATCCTTCTGTTTATGAAACAGGGGCCATTACAAGCTGCAGAAGGACCTCTGTGGGCTTCAAGAATGGTCGAAGAAATGGCTGCTAAGATTCAATGTCACGAAGTGTAAGAGGATGCATCTGGGGCGTATCATATGTCCCAACGGGATGAAGAAACTGCACTATTTGAGACTGAATGTGAGAAGGACCTAGGTGTGTATGTTGACAATGAGCTGAAGTTCTCGGGCCAGTGCGAGCAGAAGGTAAATCAGGCAAATAAATTATTGGGTCTTATAAGA